ATCCTTGAACAAATGATTTAACTTTTCTGGGTCTCAATTTCTTCATCCACAAAATGAAAAATTGGGACTTCATGACATTTTAGGTCTGTTTTAACCCTAAATAAATAATCTGTTCTCTCTGAAAAGCCATTCCATCAAAGCCCAAACAATAAAAGATTCTGCCAATTCAACAATCATTTATTAAGAATCTACTATATGGAAAACATGATGTCAAGTGCTAGGGACACACAAATAAGAATGCATGAAGGATTGGTGATTTTGTTATCCTGGGGGATGCCCAGTTTAGAAACCTGCTCCATCAACACATCAACTCTAAACCTATGCCTTAGTCCCAAATGGACAGAGTTGGCCAAGCACATAGAGGTTATATGACTTGCCCAGAGCTATATAACAAGTTAATTATGAGAGGCTGGATTTGAACGTAGGTCTTCCTGACATCAAGTTCAACATTTCCATCCACTATGCTGCCATATTTCCTTATCAAGATTTATATTTGGGCATAGCAAGATAAAAACAAGATAGTTGCTGCTCTCATAGAGCTCACTTTTTTCTGGAATACTACAACAAATGTGTTTCTAAAAGGGAAAGTGAGGAGGAAAAGAGCACTCACAACTCAAGGTGGGGGAATAAAGAAAAAACTGATGGTAGATGTAGCACTTGTTTAGAACCTAGAAGGAAGACAAAGAATCTGAAAAGGGGGAGATGAAGAAGTATATCATAGACATGTAAAATGTCTTCTGTAAATATATGGAGGAGGGAAATGAAAGGTCAAGTTCAAGAAATAACTACAAGTATATTTTGGCTAGACAACAGATGCCATAAAGTAAAATTATATGAAATAATGCTGGAAAGGTAGATTTTAGCCTACCTTGATTATTGAGAGCCTTAAATACCAGGCTAAGGAGCATGTATTTTATGCTATAAGCAATAGGGAACCATGGAACATTTTTAACTAGAGGAGAAAAATAATCAGATTTATGCTTTAGGGAAATTAGCCTGGCAGTCTTATGGAACATAGATTAGAGAGGAGAAAAACTGGAAACTTCGAGACCAGTTAGGAGGCTGTTTATAATAGCTTAGGTCAGATAAGATAATAGACTGAATTAGGAGGGTGACTGTAGAAGGAAGGAGACAGATGCAGAAGACATTGGAACACTTAGCACAACACTTAGCATAGTGGCTAGACTAGAGTATAGTAGAGTTTAAAAATATTTATTGACTGACTGAAATCTCAGTCTCCCAAACTGGAAAGGCTTAGAGCACAAGGCCAGTGGCAGACTGGGTGTTTATTATCTGAAGAATAGCCTAGCTGCTTGTGAAAAGGCTTATCACCAGAAGGTTGGCTACCCTATAATAAATATTGTCTGACTAGGATGGTTATAACTTACATAAGCTGAGGGAGTATTCACATCAATCTTCCTCATTTTATGTAAATTCTAGCTACACTAGCCTGAAATTAAAGTATTGATAATATAAGGGTTTATATGGAATCTGAAGGTTGGAATTTAAGGAATATTTCTGAATAGAGAATATTGTATGAATCTGGTGGTGCATATTTCTAAGTGGGAATTGGGGCTTTGGTTTCTTAGCCCAAACAGAGAAGAAGGAAATAAAATTCCAGAAGTCTTGAATATAAAAGTGAAAGGATCTCCAGACATGAGGAAAATCTCTGAGGTTTGAGGAAATGGGAGTTGGAAGGAAGTAAAAAGAAATGCTACAATATTATAAAACATTCTCAGATGTAATAACCCATGCAATATACACCAAAAGATGTTAGGGCTAAACTTTAAAATGAATCTCTTCCATTCCAAAGGTATTCAGCTCATCCAACTGGAGAACTTCTTTATTCTATGGGAAGAGATCACTGTTTTGTAAAGAGTAAGAGAAGATTTACTTTACAGAAATTTATTTTATAATCAATTCTGCAAGGCCACATAGGGTGGACATACACATACATATGGTTGTTGTCCTGTCATTTCACTGGTATCCTACTCTTTGTGACCCCATTTGGGGTTTACTTGGCAAAGATACTGGAGTGGTTTGCCATTTCCTTTTCCAGCTCTTTTTACAAATTAGAAGCTGAGGCAAACAGAGTCAAGTGACTTGCCCAGGGTTACACAGCTAATATGTGTTTGAGGCCTGATTTGAACTCAGGGGGATCAGTTTTCCTGTCTCCAGGCCTGGCACTGTATCCACTATGCCACCTAGCTGCCCCATATACATATATACACATATGTATTTATGTCACATGCACATGATGTAATTTATTATGTACTCTATACAATTGTGCTTTAATATGGTAATGTAAAAATTAGTTGTTCTCATTACAAAGAATATCAAATGTGATGTTCATTAGCAATTATGCTTGTGCTGAAAAATTTCAATGACTCCCAGTTGCCTTAGGGAAGAAAATTCAAATGACCTTCAAAAGCCTCTACAATTTGTAACCACCTTAACTTTTCCAGTTCTACCTCATATTACTCATCTCCACACATTCTTCACTTAAGTCAAACTAAGTAACACTCTGGCCCTTAAAAATCCCCCAGTGCTCATTCCTCTATGTCTGCTCACTGTTCTCTGTATCTAAATATTCTCCCTCCCTGTTGAAGGCCTACCCATCCCTGAAGTCCCAACTCAAACACTGCCTCCCTCTTCAGGAAGCTTTCCCTTATGACCTCTCATTTCTCACAGAGCACATGTTTTCTAACTCTTTAAGGCATTGTCATATAAATACATGCTTTACAACTAATTGTATTAGTATCTTATCCATATATTAGAGAATAAAGGCCTTAACAATAAGGCCTATATCATCTCTAGCCTGTGTATCTCACCCAGTGGCATAACAGCACATAATAGGCACATTGAATGTTTATTGTATTTTATTGAGCGCTCCTTGAATAATATGCAGCACATTAAACATCAGAGAGTTGGTTAAGGACTTGTGTGTTAAATGTATTCATTGCAAACTTAAAAAAAAAACTTAGCTGTCTACACAGGCACAAAGCTCCAGGTTTTAAGTGCAATACATCCCGTTGCCCAGTTCGAGAAATATCATTCTGGTGTGTAGGGGATCTTAATAAATATTACTATTGAGGTGAGGACAAAAGTTATGAGATGCTACATGGCTAGTGATAGATAGATAAGTTATTAAAGCTTAAAACTATACTCAGACTATTGGACACCATGTATTTGTGTATGTATGTCTCTGTATGTGTGTGTGTGTGTGTGTGTGTGTGTGTGTGTGTTTGGGTATCTGTGTAATGCATATAATAAATATAGTCAGTGTAAAATATCTCAATATGTATCAAAGAACATGCTAAGAAAGTCGAAAAGAATTAATGTAATAAAAAGGCAGATATATATTGTCTGACTTAGTGAAGAACTTCATTAACTGTAAGAATTGACTAAATACCAAATAAGTTTCTTTCCATAAGTTTTCCCCATAATAATTCCATCACACAACTGTACATTGAGGCCTACAAGCACGAATTGAAGAATTTTACGAGGTAATGGAAATGCAATTGGCCATCTGTAATCCAAATGTTACACAAGCACCATTGAAAAGACCCTTTGAAAAGCCCTCCCTTTTGAATGAATACATTTAATAAGCTACTTTATTAGACAGAAATGGTACCAAGCATCAAAGGGACTGGTTTTAGGAAGTATATGGTAAAGCCTATAGGAAATTCTATACACATACATTTTTCTCCTTTACTTCCTGCAGCTGTGAATTTAAGAGATACATTTACCTTTCTGGATGAACTGCTTTTTGCCCTTTTAGATTTATTAGGTCTCTGAATAGGTAATATTCTCTTCTAGCAAAGCCTATGACCCAAAAGAAAATTAGGTATTTCTTCAATTTAATTTTTTTTTAGTTACCCACTTTTATACTTATCACTAAAATGCAAAATTATTTTTTATAAAACCATAGAATATATTAAGATGACAAGCTTTCAGCAGAGTTTTGGTTTGACTACAAATAAAGCATGATTTGTATAAGTAACCCTTAAAGGAAACATGACCTTGCTAAAACAATGAAGAGAAAATGAAGATATCAAGGCCACAGAGCTCATATACAAATCAACAAGTGAGGGAAGGAATAGTGGGAACAAAAAGAATCTGATTCACTTGAATGGGGGTCAAGGAAGGTAAATAAGCTTCTGTGATCCTCTCCAAGATTACAGCCTGCCTACTGCCATACCGTGAAATACCATGGAGAATTTGGCTAAACTCGAGGTCCTATAGCTACTATCATTGCCTACATGAACGAATGAGTGTTGAATGAATGAAAAATCATGTCATAAGTGTTTACTATGTACCAAGCACTGTGCTAAGTGATGGAGATGCAAATACAAAAGCTAACTAGTCCCTTCCCTTAAAGAGTTTGCATTCTAAGCGTGTAGACAACATAAGGAAATGGTCATCAGGGAACAGTGCTTGGTCTGAGAAATCATAGAGATGATGAATGGAAAAATAATGTTTTCCATTGACATATTTTCTCTGGAGGCAATGGTAGTATTGTTTTAATTATTGTTCTCCTTGCAAGAAGTGGAAATCATAGGGATGTGGAAACAGTCTCCCTGGCAACTCACCAAAAAAAAATGTCCAGGGCAAAGATGAAGGACATGGTTTTTATGTGGGCACTCAAACTGCCCATATTAGCACTAAAAATGTCTTGGTGTGTATCATTCCTTGAAGAGGAAGCACAATGCAGTGGGTAGAAAAATCTTTGAATCCAAAAGACCTTGGTTCAAGTCCTGCTTCTACTATATACAAATCATGTCTGGTCATATCACTTAGCCTCTTCAATGCTGTAAGATTACAAATTATGGACTAGTTGCCTATCTGCGTCAGTGTAAGGTGTTTCTACACCAGGAGTTCCTTACATTAATGAAATCATAGTCTGTGGCAACATCACCATCATCACTGTCATCATCATAATAATTCTAAATATCACAAGTTAATTTAAACACTACTTTGTTGGCATTACCTACAGAGCAATGGGATGGATGGTGTAGCAGGATTTTTATTAATCTAGAGTAAGAATTTCCTAGGACTCAAAAACATCTTGCATTTGGAAGTGTTGACTGTACATGGAGGTCACTGGACTTCTTCAACAGGGTTCCAAAGAGTGATCTGCTGAATGGATCTAGAACCCCCAGAATAGAAGAAAAAATAGCATTATACAATAGGTCCATAACAGAGATTCAGTCTGCAACTGACTATGTTTCGGAAACCATTCCTGGTTTGTTTTCACCTTAAGAAAGTCAAATGATATTTGCTCAAAGCAGGTGAGTAGATACTTTCCCCCATCTCTTTCCTGTCTCTTATATGAATTCATCTCTTTAGGAAGAATTACATGGGGCCCAATGAAATCTGAATGGTTCCACACAAAAAAGTGACTCTCCCACACAAATAGCAATACTTTCTTCTCAAATGCTTTTCTTGTTGCCAAGAAAATAACATTTAAAAATCAATTACTATCATTTTATTTAGTGGATCTGTTATGTCTTGCAACAGAAAGCAGATACCTTCAAACAATGTACATATTACCAAAAAGTCTCAGGAATACTATAATCTTAAAAAATACTATAAAAAACTCAAATTTTAAAAAGTAGGATGATGAAAAAGTAAGAAGTTTTGCTTGCCATGAATTTAGAGACAAGCAAAATTTTAAAACACAAATTCATAGGGCTGAAGCAAGGACAGAGTAATTCAAAGTACTGGACTCATAAGAATTGAATCAAATCTAAAGATTTTAATTCCATTTTTACCTTGCATCAGTAACTAAAATAATTCTGAAAAGTATAGTCAGTAGCCCATAGAATAAGGATATTTGAATTTTAGAATTGAAGAAAATTGAGAAGTAATCCAGTTCAAATCTCTAACATATGAACTCATGTCATCAGAAAATTTATCTATCCTTACTCCCCTCTTTTTAACATTTTATTTTCCTCAATTACAAGTAAAAATAATTTCTAACATTTGTTTTTTTTAAATTTTTGAGTTCCAAATTTTCTCCCTCCCTTCCTCCCCTCCCCCATAATTGAGAAAACAAGCAACTTGATGTAGGTTATACACATGCAGTAATACAAAATATATTTCCATATTTGTCATGTTGTGAAAGAAAACACAGACCAAAAAGAAAGAAAGAAAGAAAAGAAAAGAAAAAGAAAGAAAAGAAAAAGAAACTTTAGAAAGTATGGTTTGATCTTCATTCAGATTTCACCAGTTCTTTCTCTGGAGATGGATACCATTCATCATAACTCCTTTGGAATTGTCTTAAATCATTGTATTTCTGAGAATAGCTAAGTCATCTGCAGTTGATCATTGTATAACATTGCTGTTACTATGTACAATGCTCTCCTGGTTCTGTTCATTGCACTTTGCATCAGTTCATGTAAATCTTTCCATGCTTTTCTGAGAGCATCATGCTTGTCATTTCTTATAATACAACAGTATTTCATCACAATCATATATCACAACTTGTTCAGTAATTCTATAATTGATGGACATCCCCTCAATTTCTAATTCTTTGCCAGCACTAAAAGAGGTGCTATAAATATTTGTGTATATATAGGTCCTTTTCGTCTTTGTTTTTTTTTATATCTCTTTGGTTCACAGTCTTAATAGTAGTATTACATACTGAATCCATTAAGATTTATTCTTCCTGTTTTCTTTTTTACATTCCTCTTGATTATTTCATTTGAAGTCAAATTTTCCATTCAGCTCTGATATTTTCATCAGGAATGCTTAAAAGTCCTCTATTTTATTGAATATTCATTTTTTCCTCTGAAAGATTATACTTAGTTTTTCTGGTAGGTGATTCTTGGTTGTAATCCTAGCTCCTTCACCCTATAGAACATCATGTTACAAGCCCTCTGATCCTTTAATGTTAAAGCTGCTAAATCTTGTGTTATCCTGACTGTGCCTATCTGATATTTGAATTGTTTCTTTTTGGCTATTTACAGCATTTTCTCCTTGACCTGAGAGCTCTGGAATTGGTCTATAATGTTCCTGGGAATTTTCATTTTGGGATCTCTTTGAGGAGGTGATAGATGGATTCTTTCAATTTCTATTTTACCCTTCGATTCTAGAACACCGGGCAGTTTTCTCTGATAATTTCTTGAAAGATGACTAAGCTTTTTTTTTCTATCCAGACTTTCAGGAAACCCAATAATTCTTAAATTATCTCTCCTTAATCTACATTACATATCATTTTTCTCCTAAGAGATATTTTATATTTTCTTCCATTTTTTTCATTCTTTAGATTTTGTTTTATGATTTCTTGAAGTTTCATGGTGTCATTAACTTCCACTTGCTCAATTCTACCTTTAAGAAGTTTTTCTCTTTAGAAACTTTTTGCATACCTTTTTTTCCAGCTGGCTAATTCTGCTTTTTAAAGAGTTCCACTCTTCTGCGGATTTTTGTGCCTCTTTTACCATTTGACCTATTCTGTTTTTTAATGTAGTATTTTCTTCACCATTTTTTGTGTCTCCTTTACCAAGCTGTTGACTTTTTGTCATGATTTCCTTGTATTGCTCTCATTTCTTCCCCCAATTTTTCCTCTACCTCTCTTATATGATTTTTTAAAATCCTTTTTGAACTCTTCCAGAAATTCTTTTTAAGTATGACACCAATTTGCACTTTTCTTTTTTTAATATAAATTTATTTATTTTTAGTTTTCAATATTTACTTCCACAAGATTTTGAGTTCCAAATTTTCACCCCATCTCACCCCTCACCCCACCCCAAGATGGTATGCATTCTGAACATCCCTTCCCCTAGCCTGTCCTCTATTTATCTCTTCCCCCCTTCTCTTATCCCCTTCCCCTTCTATTTTCCTGTAGGGCAGGAAAGACTTCTATACCCCATTTCCTGTATTTCTTATTTCCCAGTAGCATGTGAAAACATTTTTTAAACATGTTTTTTTTTATTAATTTATTTTGATTTATCAACAATCACTTCCATATGCTTTTGAGTTGAAAATTTTTCTCTCCCTTCCTCCCCACCACCCTCCCAAAGACGGCACACAATCTGATATAGGCTTTACATCTACATTCCTATTAAACATATTTTCACATTAGTGAAGTTGTAAGTAAAAATTAAAACCAATAGGAGGAACCATCAGAAAGATGAAACAAAACTCAACAGAAGGTAAAAATAAGTGATAGCAATTCAACTTCCATAATTCTTTCTTTGGATGTGGACAGCTTTTTCCATAATGAGGCCTCTGGAGATGTCTTAGATCCTTGTAATGCTGAGAAGGGTTCAGTTTAACAATATTAGTCATCGCATAACGTGGCTGTTATTGTGTACAAAGTCCTCTTGGTTCTGCTTACTTCACTCAGCATCAGACCATATAAGTCTTTGCATGTTTTTCTGAAGTCAGCTTGTTCATCATTTCTTATAGCACAATAGTATTCCATTACATTCATATACCACGACTTGCTCAGCCATTCCCCAACTGATGGGCATCCTATCAATTTCCAATTCTTTGCCACCACAAAAAGAGCTGCTATGAATATTTTTGTACATGTGGGTCCTTTTCCCATTTGTATGATCTTTTTGGGATAAAGCCCTAGAAATGCTATTGCTGGATCAAAGGGTATGCACATTTTTGTAGCCCTTTGGGCATAGTTCCAAATTGTTCTCCAAAATGGTTAGATCACTTCACAACTCCATCAACAATGTATTAGTGTTCCAATTTTCCCACATCTTCTCCCACATTTATCATTTTCCTGTTTTGTCATTTTGGCCAATCTGATAGGTGTGATGTGGTACCTCAGAGTTGTTTTGATTTGTATTTCTCTAATCAATAACGATTTAGAGCATTTTTTATATGACTATAGATGGCTTTACTTTCTTCATCTGAGAACTGTCTTAAACATATGTTTTTAAAACTTTAGGTTTCAAATCTTCTCCTTTCCTCCCTCCCCACTCACCCTCATTGAAAAGGCAAGCAACTCAATATAGGTTATACATATGCAGTTATGCAAAACACTTCCGTAGTGGACATGTTGTGAAAAACTAACTCTATTTCCCTTAATCCTATCCTGCCCTCCCATTTATTCTATTCTTTCTTTTGACCTTGTCCCTCCTCAGAAATACTTGCTTCTGATTACCCCCTTTCCCAATCTGCCCTCCTCTCTATCATCCCCCTGCTCTCTTGTCCCCCTCTTCCCCTATTTTCCCTTAGGGTAAGACAGATTTCCTTGCCCAACTGAATGTATATGTTATTCGTTCCATAAGCCACATCCTACGAGAATAAGATTCACTCATTCCCTCTCACCTTCCCCCATTTCCCCTCCACTGTAAGAGCATTTTCTTTTCTGTTTTTCTTTTGTGTGAGATAATTTACCCATTCTATCTCTCCCTTTCTTCTTCTCCGAATATATTCCTCTCTCATCCCTTAATTTTATTCTCCAGATATGACCCCTTAATCTTCAACTCACTCTATCTATCTATCTATCTATCTATCTATCTATCTATCTATCTGTCTGTCTGTCTGTCTATCCCTCTATCTATCTATCCATCTATCTATCTATCTATCTATCTATCTATCTATCTATCTATCTACCTATACATACATATAATTTTTTTCCTCCAACTACCCTAATACTTACAAAGGTCTCATGAGTTATAAATATCACCTTTCCATGCAGGAATGTAAGCAGTCCAACTTTAATAAGTCTCTTATGATTTCTCTTTCCTGTTTACCTCTTCATGTTCAACTTGAGTCTTGTATTTGAAAGTCAGATTTTCTATTCAGCTGTGGTCTTTTCATCAAGAATGCTTGAAAGTCCTCTATTTCACTGAATGACCATTTTTTCCCCTGAAGGATTATACTCAGTTTTGCTGGATAGGTGATTCTTGGTTGTAATCCTATCTCCTTTGCCCTCTGGAATATTATATTCCATGTCTTGCTGTCCTTTAATGTAGAAGCTGCTAAATCTTGTGTTATCCTGATTGTGTTTCCACAGTACTTGAATTGTTTCTTTCTGGCAGCTTGTAATATTTTCTCCTTGACCTGGGAACTCTGGAATTTGGCTACAATATTTCTAGGAGTTTTTCTTTGGGGATCTCTTTCAGGAGGATCTGTGGATTCTTTCAATTTCTATTTTGCCCTCTGGTTCTAAATATCAGGGCAGTTTTCCTTGATAATTTCTTGAAAGATGGTGTCTAGGCTCTTTTTTTGATCATGGATTTCAGATAGTCCAATAATTTTTAAATTCTCTCTCCTGGATCTATTTTCCAGGTCAGTTGTTTTTCCAATGAGATATTTCACATTCTCTTCTATTTTTTCATTCTTTTGGATTTGTTTTACAGTGTCTTGATTTCTCATAAAGTCACTAGCTTCCAATTGCTCTATTCTAATTTTTAAGGAAGTATTTTCTTCAGTAATCTTTTGGACTTCCTTTTCCATTTGGCCAATTTTTCTTTTTAGGGCATTCTTCTCCTCATTGGCTTTTTGGACCTCTTTTGCCATTTGGGTTAGGCTATTTTTTAAGGTGTTATTTTCTTCAGTATTTTTTGGGTCTCCTTTAGCAAGCTGTTGGCTTGTTTTTCATGATTTTTTGCATCACTCTCATTTCTCTTCCCAGTTTTTCCTCTACTTCTTTTACTTGCTTCTCAAAATCCCTTTTGAGCTCTTCCAAGGCCTGGGACTGATTCATATTTTTCTTGGAGGCTTTGGATGTAGGAGCTCTGACTTTGTTGTCTTCTTCTGGTTGTATATTTTGATCTTCTTTGTCACCAAAGTAAGATAATATAGTCTGACTCTTTTTGCGCTGCTTGCTCATGATCCCAGCCAATTACTTGAGTTTAAAACTCTTTGTTAAGGTAAGAGTCTGCTTCCAATGTGGAGAATGTACTGTCCCAAGCTTCTGGGGTTTATATAGATGTTTTCAGAGATACTTGTAGGGACCCGCAAATTTTCAGTTCTTGCAAGGTGGCATGATAAGGGGTGAGGTGTTTACTCCTTTCCTGGCCTGTGCTGTGGTCTATTAGTGACCACAAGCACTCCTTTCTGCCTTCGAACTGTGAGGAAGGTTTCCTGTCCACAGCCACTACAGGCTCCACTACACCAACACTCCTCCTCACCCCAGGACACCCGTCCAGAACTGTGACCCAGATCTAAGCACGGGCACAGCAAGAGATTCCTGCCTCAGCACAAGCAGAAAGATCCCTGCAATTCCCCTCTGATCAGCCACTTGATTTCCCCTCAGTCTGTGGGCCGGAAGCTTGGGAAGCAGCTGCCCACCTCAGGGCCACGCTCTTGGGGAATGGAGCTGAAACCCCACCTTCCTCTCTCAGCACCTCAGAGACAAACTTTTCCCACTGACCTTCTAAGTTGTCTTTGACATTTGTGGATTGAGGAGCCTGGAAATCACCACAGCTGCTCGTGATTCAGTCCTCTGAGGCCTGCTCCAGGTTCGCTACAGCCTGCGTGCCCATGTTGCACTGCACTCCTCTTACAGCCCGATGCAATATAACTTTCTGATCAATCATCCAGGTTGTCTTGGGCTGGAAATTTGTTTCACTCTGTCTTTTTGTGAGTTCTGCTGCCTTAGAATTTGTTTAGAGCCATTTTTTATAGGCATTTGAAGGGGTTTGGGGTAGAGCTCAAGTAAGTTGCTGCTTTCACTCCGCCATCTTGGCTCCCCCCTGCCACATTTTTCTTTGAGGCTTTGAATATAACAGCTTTGAATTTGTCGTCTTTTCTTTTTATCGTCCTGTTACAGTTGTGACTTTCTGAGGTCAAGTTCTTTTTTTGCTGTTTGCTCATTTTTCAATCCTATTTCTTGACCTTTAACTCTATATTAAAGTGGGGCTCTACTCCAGGAGTGGAGGGGGAACTCTCCCAAGCTTCAGGCCTTTCTTGTTGCTACTATCAGAGCTACTTCTGGGGCTCTGAAAGTTTTCAGTCCTTCAAATGTGGCATGATCTAAGAAAAGGTGTGGTCACTGGTTTCCTGGCCTGTGTTCTGGCCTGTGAGCAGCCAACCACAAGTACTCTTTTGACCCTAGAACTGTGACCAGGATCCTCTACTCCTCTGTAACCACAAGCTCTGGTATTCCAGAGTTCTTCTTGGCCACAGACTGTGACTCAGGTTTGTCAAGAGGACCTACCTATGGACATTGCAACAGAGTCCTACACCCAGTATCAGCAAAGGGACCTCTGTAATGTCCTTCTGACTAGTTATCTGATCCTCTTACTGTCTGCAGTCTGAGAGCTCCAGAAGCCACTGCTGCCACCACTGATTCTTTTGTCCCCAAGGCCTGTTGCTCTGTGCTCCACTCTCACCACAGTGTGACAGGCCTTTCCTTTCAAATTTCTAAGTTGTCTTGGGCTGGAAAATTATTTTACTCCATGTTTTTGTGGGGTCTGCCACTCTACAGTTCATTTTGAGGTATTATTTAAAGTTGTCAGGGGTGGGGGATTTGGGAGACCTCAAGTGAATCCCTACCTTTTTTCCACCATCTTGGTTGTGCTCCTCTCTTATCTGTCTTTAAAAAAACAAAAGATAAAACAAATTTTGAATAATTTACTGTTTTATATGCTAATGACTTTTAACTATAGCCTTCATTTAGTATAACCACAGAAAGTAAAATGATTTAAAATTTTTCATCTGCCCCCTTTACTCTCAAGAGTATTGTAAAACATTGTATTCACACAACTGACTCACAAACTTAACTGAAGATGTGGTCCATTTTTTTAGTGTACCAATTTTTTTTCAAAAGCAATATCCACATAAGTGACTATGGAATAAATTACCTGGTAGATAAGTATGAAATAGCTGGTGTCCTTAACTAAAGCAGAGATAACTTCTTTCCTGAAAAATTTTCTCTTCCTGACAGTCTCAAGATGATTTTCTTTTCCAATATCAGGCTGCCAAGGATAAACATTAATCTGTTCCCATTTTATTATTTTTAAGCACTACAAGACTCACCTAAATGTTCAATATAGTAGAAATAATGCTGAATTTGGAGTCACAAGATCTGAGTTTAAATCCCACCTCTGATGTAACCTTGGCAAGTCATTTAACTCTTATTGGTCTCATTTTCCTCATCTGTAAAATGAAAGGGTTGTACTACATAACCTCTAAGTCCCTTTCCAGCTCTGTATCTATAGGAAATTATTAATATCGAGTAATCATCCTACTTTATCTCTAAAATAAACACACCTTTGGAGTATTCCTTCATTACACTTAACATTCATAGAAACTGACAAGAGAAAAACAAAAGATTATAAACAGCAACCAGTTGTTCTGTTTATATGAAACTTTTTAGTAAAACATTGATCTCAGCAAAGGGAAGTGGGTAGCAGGAATTTTTTTAACTAAATGCCTGCCTGTCTTTTGAGACTTTTCCCCATATTCTCTCATGAGTCCACCACAGAAGTCCACCTCACTTCCCTCTATCAAAAGAAAAATCAACATATATGTGATGTTTAAAAAAAAGGATAGAAATTTGCTCTCTGGGTGGGGTTCTCTCAAGTTCGTGAACAGTTTTAGCCTTGGGAAGTCCAATGTCTCATTCCTCCAACTTTTCCAGCTCCTGTCTTAGTTCATACAATGCCCTAAGTATATAGTGTCACTTTAAATATTCTGTAGCATGATAACACATTTTCAAGAAATTGCAGGGGTCATTCTTTCAAGCTGATGCAAGCTTCTTCCAAACACATGCTGCAAAACTCAACCCCATTAAAAACATCATTTTTTTTCTTTTGGTTCATAATTTGAAATTAAATTCCAGCTGTCTGGGAAAGCTGATCCATCCCTGGCTCACAGGACCAAATCCCCAGTGTCAGACTGTAATTCTTTTAGACACCACAAATGGGTTTGCAGTAAAGTTTACTGCAAAAAAATGGCAAACCACTGTATTTTTGTAATAGGAATACTTCAGCCATTGCTGACTTTTCAATAGAAATAACAATAAAAAAAGATTCTTGCATTTTCCAATGTATATATTTTTGGTAGTTTATTGCAAAACAAAACAAGAAGCAACTTTAACCATGTAACAAGCTTCAGTTTATGAGATCGCTTCTATTGAGCCTCATGGCCTGGGGGAAAGAGTGCTCAATGCACAGCAGTGTTAACTTCAGAGATTTCACAGATGTCAACACTTTCTCTTCAGCAGTAACAAACTGATAATACCCACACAACAGAAAACAAAACATAAAAGGAAATTCAGGAATAGACAAGAGATAAAGAGTTGTATTGGCAAGCATTGTTCTACTCTAGTTAGATTGTGTTCCCATTAAATTCAATACTTCCCCTCCTGGGCTTGTGGGAGTAGAAGAGAATGAATGCTTATAAAGAGGTACAGAAGTCTCATCTTTATGAAGAACTTATCTTCATGAATTCAAATTCAGTTTCAGATGATTACTAGCTGTGTGACTCTAGGCAAGTCACTTAACCCTGTTTGTCTCAGTTTGATATCTGTAAAATGATGTGAAGAAGGTAATGGCAAACCACTCCTGTATCTTTGCCAAGAAAACCCTAAATGGGATCATGAAGAGTGGGACACAACTGAAACAACTCGATAACAATTACAACAAAGAAGTAATTCTCTTGTCAGTGTATACAGTGGATGGAAAATACTTTGGAGAGGGCAATTTCAGCTGAATGATGAGTCCAAACTGAAGAGAAAGAGAGAAATGGAGACACAGATTGTGGATAGTTTTCTCAAGGAGGTTAGCTATGAAAGACAGCTAGAATGGATGGTCATAATCAGGAATCTGACAGTAATAAGGAAGGTCATTCTCTGTGTACACTTCCTGGTCTGCTCAGTCCTGTTTTAGGGTCATGGGTAAGTGTGAGGACAGAGTAAGGAGTGTCCCTGTTCCACCCCTAATATGTTTTTCTATGTTTTGACTTTCTGCTTCTATGAAGTCTTTGCTTGGTCTTCAACAGCAGTAGGAGTAGAAGTCTCTTAGGCAGACTAAGTTCCAATGACCTACTTCTCTACTCCAGCAATACACAGATATTGTCATAATCTTGACCTTAACATCATCCTCAAGTGTTCTTCTTCCATGATCATGAACTCTGAAATTTCTGTATTAGCTGATGTTTTTTTTATCATTTTATCATTCTCTCTGTCTTATGAATCTCTAACCCTGATATTTGTCCTCTTTGTGACTCCTAATCCTTCCACCCTTGTTCTTTCCCAGGCCATTACCACTGCACTTGCATTCCCATTCTTATTTCAGCCCATTGGTGAACCAGTTCAACTATTCCTCTGCACTCAAGACGTGTGCTCCCTTATCCTTTTGCTGATCATGCTTTGCAAGCCCCAACCATGGCTTACTCCCACCATCTGTTACCTTCAATCCTGTTCATGTCATACTGCAAAATCTTTGCTGGAGAAAATCACAAAAATATAGGTCCACTACAATTTTAGGTTATACAATCTCAACTGGCTCAATGCATCAAGTCAAACTTCCTAATCTATTCATTATACCATTCAATGCAGAAGCTATTCTAAATCTTTTTATCTCTCCACGAGTGTCCCATGGTACCCCTTTCACTCTCTCCCACCTTCTCAGCTAAAGACCTTGCCTTATCCCCCACCCAAAATTTTTTGAGGTGATTCAATAAGAACTCCTACTCCTCTATTCCTTAACATCACTCATGTCTTCCCTCACCAAAGTGGCCTTCATCCTTGTCAAGGCAAGCTCCTATATATGTACCCCTGTTCCCATTCCATCCTATCCTCTCAGTAGATTGCCTGCCCCCTCTATCAACCTATTTTCACTAATCTACAATATCTGCTGGTTGCTCACTACTGCGTGCAAAAATGTCTCCACCATGCTTAAACATTCCTCCTTTATTATGACCATCCATTCTAGCTGTCTTTCATAGCTAACCTCCTTGAGAAAACTATCCACAATCTGTGTCTCCATTTCTCTCTTTCTCTTCAGTTTGGACTCATCATTCAGCTGAAACTGCCCTCTCCAAAGTTTCCAATGATCCATTAATTGTCAAATATTGGCAAATAGTTCCCTTTCTCAGTTCTTACACTTCTTAAATAGTCTGAAAATTTTTGATCACTCTCTCCTCTCTAGATTTTCATGATACTGATCTCTCCTGGTAGTGACTTAGAATATAATAGTGGCTTAAAAAATGCCTGATGACTTGACATGACTTGATTTTTCTCCTGCCTGTCTGACTCTTTTCTCAGACTCCTTTGCTAAATCTCCATCAAGGATCACACTCACTAACTGCATGTTAATGCTCCCAAAGTTCTATCCTGGGACTTCTTTTCTGGAAGAAAAGCTCTCTTCCTTTTTCACTCTATGCTATCTCACTTGGTGATCTTATACACTATCATTAGTTCAGTTATTATCCTTACACAAATGATTCTTAGATTATACACCAATCCCTAGTCTCTTTCTTAAGCTCCAGTCTTATATCACCAAGTGCCTTTTGGTCATCACTAATTGAATATCCCATAGGCATCTCAAACATACTCAATAGAGTATCTTTCTCAAAAAACACTCCCTTCTTTCCAACTTTCCTATCAGGTCAAAAGCACCATCATCCTCCCACTTACCTCATCTTACAACTTCACTATGATTCTCACATCCTTACTCATACCCTTCAAACCCAATGTCTTATCATTTCCACCTTTGTAGCACTTCTTGCATATTTTTCCTTCCCTCCAATTACATGATGCTCACCTTGGTACAGGCTTTAATCACCTGTTGAAATTTCCTTCTGGTTGGCATCCCTGCCTCAAGTCTCTCCCTCCTCCATTCTTCTTCTACTCAGCTGCCAAAGTGATCTTCCTAAATGCATATCTGACCGTGTCACAGCACATCATCGTCATCATCATCATCTACTTATTACCTGGAGTATTAAATATGAAATCATTTGTTTTTTAAATTTACAACCTGACCTCCCTTTTCCTTCCCATTCTTCTTATACTTTATTTCCCTCTGCATATTCTAAGATCAAGTAACACTGGCCTTCTTGCTATTCCTCACACATAACATTCCATCTTTTGACTCCATTCTTTTTCACTGGCTGTCCTTAATTCCTGCAAAGCTTTCCCTCCTCCCCTCTATCTCCTGTTTTCACTCATTTCCTTCAAGGATCATCTCAAATCTCACCTTCTGTAAAAGGACATTCCCATGAGCCTCTTATCCCACCCACCCCCTATACATACACACTATAACTCCTATTTATACACTTTGTACCCTGAATGAATGTAGTTGTTTACATGTTGCCTGGAATGTGATCTCACTGAGGACAAGTACCAAGTATTTGACTTTCTTTGTATCACTAAAGCTTAGCAAATTACCCAGAAGATATTAAGTGCTTACCTTAATAAATGCTTGTTGATTTAACTTTAAACAGTATTGGATCAAGGAAGGGGAAGATGATTTTCTCATTCCTTTGCTATGGTTTTAGACAGCTTTCATCCTCTACTGAGTTAGAAGGGAGGGAAAGAGGGCTTCTAGAACTCAATATTATTTTCCTTCATATTCATGCATTCCATCTCCTGTAATGTCAGGATTACTGTTACCATCATGTTCTAATTATTCTATAATCATCCTAAATTATTAGTATGCATTCCAATTATGGGATATATATTTAATTCTCCTCAGGTTTTCAACTCCATCAGGAGGATTTTGAGATGTCCTTGTGGCAGGTAATACCAAGCTTTTAAGAAGAGAGTGCTGGCAAAATAGGTTATACCTAGGTTGCCTAATCATTCTCAAGCTGATGCTACATATTAGTTTCCCATTTAATGACAATCAACAAAACAATCTATCAAATTATGTCTTGCATTTGTCCATTTCCAAATAAATACTTACAATGAAAATTAACAATTGGGTCCAGGACACCATTGGGTATAATGTATATCATATAGTTGGAGCTGAAAGAGATATCAGAGAGTATCTAGCCTATCCATCTTTATTTTAGAGATAATGTAACTGAGACCCTAAGAGGGAAAATGACTTTTCCAAGGGCATCTAGATAACAAGTAGCATGTTAAGGATTGGAACTCAGGCCTGGAGCTCTCAATAAGATTGAATTCTAAAGCAATACAATTTAGCAAAAAAAAAAAATACCAATGACCTTATTGGTAGAGTTGTGAACTGATCCAACCATTCTGGAGAGCAATTTGGAACTATGCCCAAAGTGCTATAAAATAGTGCCTTCCTTTGATCTAGCAATCCTACTCCTAGGTCTGTATCCCAAAGAATTCCTAAAAATGGGAAAGGACCCAAGTGTATAAAATATTTATAGCAGCTCTTTTTGTGGTGGCAAAGAATTGGAAATTGAGGGGATGTTCATCAATTGGGGAATGGCTGAACAATTTGTGGTATGTGAATGAATACTATTGAGCTATAAGAAATGATAAGCAGGCAGATTTCAGAAAAACCTGGAAAGACTTGAGTGAACTGTTGCTGAGTGAAGTGAGCAGAACCAGGAGAATATTGTACACAGGAACAGCAACATCATGTGATGATCAGTTGTGACAGATTTGGCTCTTTTCAGCAATGCAATGATCTAGGACAATTCTTAAAGACCCATGATGGAAAATGCTATCCATATCCAGAGAAAAATTATGGAATCTGAATGCAGATCAAAGCATACTATATTCACCTTTTTGTTTTGTTTTGTTGTGTTTCTTTTTCTTGGTTTTCCCTTTTTGTTCTGATTCTTCTTTCATAGCATGACTGGCGTGGAAATGTGTTTAATATGACTGTGCATGCATAGCCTATATTGGCTTCCTTGCCATTTTGAGGAGGAAGGAGGGGAGGAAGGAGGGAGAAAAAAAGTTTGGAACTCAAAATCTTATAAAAGTGAATGTTGAAAATTTTCTTTACATGTAATTAGAAAAAAAAAAGAAAATATTATTAAAAAAGGGAAAAAAAGAAGCACCAATGATGATTCAATTATCTCATTTCCCAGTGACCAATCATCTAATTTTCCAATTTATTCCTTTACAAGGCAGATTTCCTATGACTGGCTTAATCTGTACACCCTTAATCATTTGTCACCATGCTCCCAGTTTAACTGAACTAAAATACTTTATTTACTTTTCCCCAGAGGAAATATATTGGGTTTCACCAAAACAGAAGGGCTTTAAGAGAGACAGAGAGAGAGAGACAGAAAGACAGAGATCCTACTATAAATCACACTCAGCTAACATTTTTATATCTGGATCTCTCTGAGGCAAAGTAGTTTGCTATCTCACCAAAGTAAATTTCTCCATCAATACATGGACACGCACATTCCTAGTTTTCTGTGATCTCATTTTGAGGATTCATCACAATAATCCTCAACATTAAAATCCCACAGAAATACTCTCACTCCCCATACTCAACAGATACATATAATTTTAGTTGCTTCCCCAATTTTTATAGAAGCTGAACTTCATAGCAAGTTTCTTAGCAAGATAAAAAAAAAATAGAGAATTCATGGTTTAACTCCAAGGCAAGAATAAAGGAGATGAAGGTGAAACAGTAGTAGGACTTTGAGTTAAACAAACTAAATCTTGCTGGGCTATAAGGGTTAAGAGAGGGGGTGGTTGTTGTTGTTCCGTTGTTTCAGTAGTGTTAGACTCTTAGTGATGCAATTTATGGTTTTCTTGACAAAGCTACTAAAGAGGTTTGGCATTTCCTTTTCCAGATCATTTTATAGATGAGGAACTAAGATAAACAGGGTTAAGTGATTTGTCCAGGGTGACACAGCTAGTTAAGTGTTTGAGCCTATCTATACACATCTGCAACTGCTGAGTCTTAGAGGCTAAGGCTTAGGAAGTTGCCTGGGGCAATAAGAAGTTGTGACTTAACCTAAATTCTCACAGTTAGTACCTGTCAGAGAAAGAACCTGAACCCAGGCCTTCCTTCCTTATTCAGAAGGTTGGCTCTCCATCCAATAAAACACATTTATTTTCTATGGTTACATCATTGGGTTCAGGTGTTGTTATGGTTGGGCAGTAATTGATCCTTTCTGCTCCTTAATGATAGGGACTAGAAGCAGGGGTGGGGAACCTGCAGCCTAGAGGCCACATGTGGCCCTATACATCTTCAAGTACAGTCCTTTGACTGAATCCAAACTTCATAGAATGAATCCCCTTAATATAAGGATTTGTTCTGTTAAAGTCGATTTGTTCTGTTAAAGTTTGACTCAGTCAAAAGGCTACACACAAGGGCCTAAAAGGTCACATGGGGCCTGGAGGCTACAGATTCCCCACCCCCAAGTCTCTACTATTTCTTCTTTGTTGGATAGGTGTACTATTAATTCTTTCCCAGGTCTTTTCTATCTCTTTTCTGGGGCAAAGTGTAGGATATATTTTTTCCTCTTGTCACCACAGTCTTCTCCCAATAGCTTTTTGCTCTGGAGATTTAATTAGTCACACCCCATTACAACAATTAATTTGCTTTCTAGCCTAAAGCCAATATAGTGCATATACTTTCCCCCTACCCCAAACCCCAGGTTAATATGGTTTCTTTCTTCTATTTTATAGAGTTTATATTCAAAGAAAAGTTAGGAGTAAAATCCCAATAGATCAGAGCCTCCACTAAGGAAAATTCCTAACATTAAGGCAGAGGTTTGACTCTTTGCTCTCATTTAAATTTATCTTTAGCTACCCCTGTCCTCTTTATGTTTGAGACAAAAATCAAGATACAGTAATATTTCATTAACATAAGTAAAGCCATTTACTAGACAGGCACAGGGAGGGGAATTTGATGAAAGAACAGATCTTTTTTGAAACATTCTTTAGTTCTTAAAGAGGTTACTACAACAGGTAGTTTTATCTAGAGTCTTCTGATCCAAGATGCTTGTAGGAAGTTACTGGCCCTCTTCATTCTGGTACCCTGCCCCCAGAGTGACACAGTACTACTTTCACAGTTCACCTTTCATATTTTCTTTTCATGTTTTACCCCTGGGTCAATGATTCTTTCTGGCTAAGGACTAATTACTTAAATATTGGGCAAGATGGGAGAACTATCTCCCCAATATGGACAGTTTTGAAGTCTCTACAATCTCCTCTCAATCAATGTCAGACATGGACTCTGTCCCATTCAGAACTTCTGAGTGTGAGCCTTGAGTCAAGATGATGGAACATGAAGCAATATGTCCCATTTCTCCACCATATCTCTTCAACAAAGTTGGAAGAAGAAAATTTGAAACAGAAAATAAAATTACATGAAAAAGGAGGAAGAGGAGGAGGAAGAAGAAGAGAATGAAGAGGAGAATAAGAGCTCTATTTACTAATATCCATCTTAATCTACCTAGCTTTTGAGTTGTTCTCTGGGCAAAATTGCATAATGGTGTACATGTAGTTTATGAGCTGGTATGGGAGAAATGGAGTCACACTTCCTTTCAGACTCATTCTTTTCTACTAAATAACCTAATGAATCTATTTCTAAAACTATTTCAGATTTGGGGGCTTGTTCTCGTGAACTATGTAATGAAACCTCTATTATACCAGGGGAAAATAGAGTTCATTGAAATATTTTCTGGTACCATCTTTATTTTTCTACATAATTACGTTTCATCTTTATGCTTCCTCCTACAGAATTTAAAACTTAAATTTTCATAGAGACTAGTGATTAGTGAAGCCTGAGCAAAATGTGAACAATTTCAGTATTTCTTTTAAAAAGTTTCAAGGATTTAAAACGTACAATTTGACCTCTTTTGTTTCAGGAATAGCCCAGTGTGTAGCACAGTAAGCATTAGTAAGATTTAGTAAGAATTTTATAATGCTTATTGATTGATTTATGGAACAGACAAAATGTCACATTTTAATCATATAATGAAAGTTGTAGCAAAAAGGATCTGAAGTCATGAACTGATATGGGAAGGTAGCCCCTTATTTTGTCCTATCTTACCTAAAATTCCATATATCTTAGTTAAGGCAAAACCCATTTAAACAGATTGATGACAGCATCAATGAAAAGGATCCTATATAAAAAAGACCACAATAAAATAATAATCACATGTATTTTCTATGTGAATATAATAAAATGAAATGTATTTCTGACAGGAAATTTCAGAGGTAGAAAAATATAGGGAAGAGTTGTCTTAGGAGACAAATTTATGGATGCAAAGGTGACTTACAGGCCAACTTAGATTTTTGAAGAAATATGCAGAAGACGGACATAAGAGCAGGTTGGAGATAATGAATATAAAAATGTCATAGGGCTATGTGAGAATAAAGTTTGAATTCCTAAAGCTCAGAATGAGTTGAGGTTTTTGAAGAATGCTAAGCATAACAGAAAGGAGATGCTGCTGTTTTTCTTGCTGTTTTCCTTAGTTATTTGAGGAAAAGGAGGAGGCCTAAAGAAGCAATGGGATCATTCATTGGGATGGATAAAAATAACTGTAAAGGACAACAGAGAGAAGATATACCTATGCAAATTTTATTTTGGTTAGTTACCTTGCCAAGAAG